TGCGAGTTATCTGACTTAGCAGACGGCAATGCGCTGGAAAGCTGGGTAATAACGGGCTTAAACAAAGGGGGTATAGGTCCATTCGGCTAGGCTCCGACCTGACAGTCCGATTTGACCGTTCGGTTTCCACCAGAATAACATGTCCCGTCCGGCGTCAGATCGGTCACCTATCTGACGGTTATCGGACAGCTATCAGTCGCTCGTGCCGATAGGGGTCAGCTTGGTTCTTCGGATTAATCCTCTTCCAGCGAATGGTTTGGGGAGGGCAGTGTTACAGGACGTGGTGGGTTTCCGCCTGACAATCGCTATCCCTATAACAAGAGCACAAATGTCTGCTTAACAGAACTGTGACATGGCGGATATGACTGGTCACTAACTGAAGTTACCGACTCTTGCCTTTCTGAAGGATTTCATCCAATTCACGAACATCATCCACTTTGAAAGGTTCAATAGGTGCTTTCCTATGTTCGCGAAATCACGAAACAGAATCGCAAATTCATATTAACAGTTACAACGTGAGCAATTTCACACACGCACCCATCAATGCGGTATGTAAGGTTAATGTGTAACATGTGCGTACAAATATCGATCATACAGACGTGTTACTATGAACATGCGGTCCTGCGCTTGACTCGCAATGTGGATGTTACTTTTTAGACATTGCTCATCTTAATCCTGATCGGTGTATGTGGTGGTGCGTTACCAGCTTTTTAAAATTCCTGGAAACGCAGGTTAATAAATGAGAGTGTGACAGCATGATCAGTGTGAAGAAGGCATGCAAAGTGGTGTACGTATGTGTATGTTTTGTTATGAACGCGTTTAAGAAGGCATATATGTGAGTATGCTGATGACAGGAATGCATCTTGTACGTAATGCATACATTGATGGAGTTGCTGCGTAGCCTGAGATAAGTGCAAATGATAGCGGAGGATATTGGTGTAGGCATATTATCAGATATGTGAGATATGTCATCAGAAAACGTCCGATTTGTGCACTTTACTATGTGAAAGATAGTCATTTCATTTTTATCATTGGATGATAGAGAGCAGAAGGAAGATCCTTTGTCAGCTCCTTCACTTCCCGATCATTGCGGAGATGGCGTGGGTCATTGCGGCAGAAGGTTCCGCAGAGGACCACTGTAGCTGTCTTAGAGGCAGCAGAATCCCAGCGCGCTCAGGTGAGCATCCAACAGTTGTTTGAAACGTTCCTCTGTCTCAGCATCAATAATAGGATTCTGCAACCGGTTCCAATCATTCACCACGCGAGTTGATAAGGCCAAATTGAACCACACACGGAAATTCCTCGATTTGAAAAGTTTCGTGCGGTGGCCTCGTGTCGAACTCCCAGTGTTGAGTTGAAAGAAGTCCTGTAACTCGCAACCCAGTTCTCCTCTGAGAATACGTCGAGTGAATATCAAATCTCCTCGGTGACGGCGATAACCTAGAGAGAACAAGTTCAGTCGTTGAAGTCGGTGTGGTTACGACAGGTCTCGCAACTCAGGGACGGATTTGGATCCACGCCGTTGAACCTTCTCTATCATATCATATTCGGATTTGGTGAGAGAGTAGGCAGCGGGTAGCCCGTATTCGAGAATCGGGCGTACATGCGAGCCAAAGAGGATTCGGAAAAGTCCCGGGGTCTGAAGAGAAAACCCTCTACGTATAGAATGGAACCTCCTGTAGGCCACGGTGACCATCTTCTGGGTGTCTTGAATAGATTTGAGGTCTGATGACACTATCACTCCAAGATCCCTCTATTGGGTTGCGCTTCTGAGCAAGGAACCACCAATGTGGTAAACTCCAAATGGGTTAGCTGAGCCAACGGGGAGAACAGAGCATTTATCACGATTTACGGACAACTGCCACTTAATCGACCAATCATAGAGTAGATCGAGCGTAGTTTGTAATCTGTCCGCGTCTTCAAGGCTGGATACTTCCATCCGTATGCGGTTTAAAGATGCTGCATGTTCATAAATGAAGCAAGTAGTGAAATGCGTGAATTCCACGTAGGTAATACAATAAAACGGTCAACTGGAAAACTGATGTGTAATGTACGGAATAGTGATTTGCGACGGAAAACAAACGCTAATGGATGGTAACGGCTTTCTCATTTGCCACACGTTATCAATGTTAATGTGAAAGCAATCGCTGCATAAACATGGCAAGGTTAAGGCGGATATGACGTCTGCATGTGCTGAAAGGTGTGAGCGCGTTGCCATCTAGATAGTACGACAGCGTAATTCATTCTGATGCCTAGTAGAGTTTAAACCATTCTCAAATGTTCCCGTCTTTGTGGGTGAGCGTAATCATCGCTCTTAACCTACAAAGCGCGGACACTGAAAAATGGTTGTATGCTCTAAACAGAACCGTGGTCGCAATCTCTGTAAAATAAAGGGACTATGCAATCAAAAGTTCCTAGAAGTGGGAAAGTTACTGGCATGTGGATATTAAACATGTGTCGTCTTCCTTAGCAGTGAGGAAGGCAAATTGATGTTCCACAGCAATCCGGAATTGTGATGCATCTGCGGGCGCATGATGGTTGGAATAAAGCATACAGGATGAAACAATGAAAATGCACGAAAGTGACGGTGAAACTAGACAATGTCCCTTACCTGTGTGGATATCCATTTCCGGCGTATGCCTAACGTGAATAGGGCGGACGCAGTAGGCTTAGGCAGCGCAGCAGGTGAGCCCTGCAAACGCTCGTGGAAATGGGATCTTCTACAGCCTGAATGGAAGGTAGTCAACTTGAGGGATTCACCGTGGCCATGGAGCAACGCGGGTTGTCATGTAATCATGAGCACTGTAAGGGCGGTGTGAATAGTATGTATCGCATAGCTATGTATGTTGCTTAGTCATCAAAGCAGGTCCGGTGGCTTTCAAAGGTCTGAGAAACAGAGGTTTGGTTGCCGGAATACGTAAGACGGTGTATCTGCATGGGCTTTGAAATCAGAGTAATCAGTACCTGAGGACTTTACGTGAAGCTGATGGAATATGGTTTCACACGTGCTCCGTAACATACAGGGTATGGCGGAGGACGGTCAGCACATGAAATGAACAGTCTATCTCCGTTGTCAGAACGAATATCATCATACTCATTCGGTCCACCATGGTGGCGTTCACATGATAGCAGCCAACCAATACATGCGTTTAAGCCTCTTGTCATAATGATGTCTGTTGTAGGCGCCCTTCGGAGCAACTCATGAAGATGTTCCTAGAACTGATCCTTGACTCTATCCTAGCTGCAATCAGTCGGCGCGTAGGCTGAGATCACCAAGAGAGCAAACTTATCGGCTCAACATCTGCTAGCCTTGTATGCGCCACGGAGCCGCGCATCGCAAAGGCGACTGTTGATTGGAATCCAATCAAGGAAAGCGGCCTCGGCTCTAGCACTAAGTGCTATCCCAGCACCAGTCTGCCTAGATGCGGCTGACTCATCGTCATCAGAAAGACGAACATGGAAGCGGGTGTGTGGTGGGACTGGTGACCACAGCTGGTAGACTGTGTTGGGATCCTGGAGTCGTGTTCCACTCAGACAGCAGACATCAATTGCGAGGGTCTCCAGCGTGCATGCAAGTCCAGGTTGTTGTCTGGTCTGCAACAATGTGCGCACGTTGAAGGTTACTAGTTTGAGCTGCATTCCAGGTTACAGTAGTGAAGATGGAACACTTCGGGGCTGGCGGCTCCCTGTCTAGGACTGTGTGGTTGAGTTGACGGATGTTAAAGGGGCAACTACATCGGCGAAGGTAGCATTGGTCACCATTGAGGGATCAAGTAACAATGGGGGCGAGTAATTGCCGGCCCGTTGCCGAGAGGTAACGTTATTGTCTCGTAATCATCCGACGCGGGTTCGAGCCTGCGTAGGAGTAGGGCGATCCTCGCAGTATCCTTAGCCCACATGCAAGCGGTAGTGGTTGCGCGGCAGCGAGGCGTCGGTACTGCGTACTGGCATACTGCTGTTGCCTTTTTTCTGGGCGAGTAATTCAAAGGAAGGGGAGGTAGCTTGATGGCGTGTGTTTAAAGTTTGCGTAGTAACAGGACAGTGGATTATCATGAGAGAGTGTGAACGTAGTTGTGTTCTTCCATGGTTCATCAGTAAGCGAGATATTACCCGGTCGCTTAGGCCGAAGTCGGTGGGTTGTCTTAGGGGACTGTGACCCTGAGCCTTTGGTCAGTGGGCCTAACCTACAAGGCAGCAGTGCGAGGTAAGGGTTTCGCACCCGTTGGGAGCTGGCGACTGAACATTCAGTTCATACACCTTTCGCATGGCGGAAAGCTATGCCAAGAGCCCAACACTCCTGAAGTCAAAAGCAGAATCCGATGCTCGGATTGTTTGCCGATGTTAAATATCTACGAGGAAGACAGCGGGTAATGACTACTTAGTCACAGTGTTGTTAAGCAGACAACGTGCCATCAGAACTATGGCAGAAAAAGTAAAATATAGTGACAAAAGAAAATTTTTGAGTTTTACGTACACCATTTTGAGTTTCCTTTGTGAGTTTTATGTGTTCGATTTGGCATTAACTAATAGGTGGGATGCGGAGAAACAGTACTTGCGCCACTGATGTTTGTCGCAGGCCATGGCATCCAATGTTTCCAACCGGTGGGACACAGTGTTACGTGGTCTTCAGCCTGGAAGGCTAGCCGGTCCGACGGATGCTAAACTTGATGTGGCTTTCTTCATGCTTCTTTTCCACCTCATCGATTGTTCACCACAGCACTTTTCCAATCGCTTCCAGGAACCGCAAATAACGCTCGAAGTAGAAAGCCATAGACTGGCTGACTGACTACAGCTTGATTGCATTGGCGACCTTGTAGACTCTTTATACGCTAGCCAATAATACTTGTCACATTCGCACAACTTCGCGTTGTCGCCTAATTGTTTACTTGTATGCCTTTTGGCTTTTCCCAAAACGAACTATCTTCGCTTTCCAATCTGCTCGCCTATGTGTTGCTTGTGCTATAAGTCAACACGGGATAGTACGTCCTTTTTCCCTTCCAGCTCATTGGGATTTTTTTATTTTTCACCGCACATGAAGGCCTTTCGAAGCGTCTTGGAGGGGGCACGTAACGTGCTAGTGCTTACTGGTGCCGGAATAAGTGCTGAGAGCGGCGTGCCCACATTTCGTGGCGAGGGTGGTTTGTGGCGCAGTTACAGATCAGAGGTATGCTAACTTTCCATTACCCCCACAGGATCTTGCTACCCCTTACGCCTTCTATGACAATCCAGGCTTGGTGTGGGAATTTTACCACTACCGCAGAGAACTTGTTCGGCAGAAGGAGCCCAACGCAGGTCATCTAGCTTTAGCTAAGGCGGAAGACTTGTTTACACGTGATAGGAGATCGTTCACCGTGATCACTCAGAATGTTGATGGACTTCACCTAAGAGCTGGCTCAAAAAATGTCATCGAACTTCACGGTAAGTAGTCGGTGCAGGTCGCAAACCTGCACTTATTTCTCTCTTGTTTTATTTCAGAACCCTTACTTTCTGTTCCCTGAAACAAATTTACCTTGGATAATCAACAGTGATTCGAGCACCGACCTGTGATGGGTCGTTTCCATTACCTGCGTCAGTATAATAGCAGGGCTTACCAATCATTTTGGAGTGAACACCAGTGGTGCGCATATGATAGCGAAAACCATGGGGAAATTTTAAGGAGGCCTGACCGTTGTGTCGAAGTGTTAAGAGGTATATAGTTTAGAGTTCATTGCAACAATTTCCAAATAAGACAGTCCTCCTTATGCCCAGGGTGTGAATGAGTACTACTAGTGCGGCCGATGCTGTCGTTGCCAATCAAGAAAAACATACGTGAACCCCGCCATGTCGATTCTTTGACCCTCTTTTATATTTCTTTGACGCTTTGATTATTTTACTGCAACTTCTAAAGAAAAGATACGCTGAGATCTACAACTGACAAACTTTTAAATGCTGCTGTAAAAGCAAATTAGGTGCTTCATGCGCAGCATGCAGTATAGTACTGCACCATAGCAGTTGCTACAAACCCTAACATACCTCAGGATTGCTTACCCGTTAACTGACAGTGGTGCTATATAGACGGCGCCTGCCAAGGATAACCTACATCATATTGTCTGCAACGCATAATGGCAACTATCTTGATGCATGTGGTCGCACCGGCCACCATGTGTACAGTCTCTGGTAAGCCTCATCACCATTTAACACTAGCCAAAGGTGAGAAACACTTCAGCTCCTGTACCGCTAGTCAATACAACACCGTCTCTACGATTGATTTGGGTTTCGGAGGCTATATAAACCTTAGCAATGTGTATAGGGACATTTTCGACTCTTTGGCTCCATGATAACGACCAGGGTGTTGTGGTTTGTTTCGGTAGACCTACAAACCCATTGTGTCATTCGTTCGTTGAAGCAGCCATCAAAGCGTTTAGACTTGGATGCAGTTAGGTTTGCCAACCCTTTATATCCATGCTCCATTGTCGACCCTGCTTCATCAGTTCTTTGTTTCCCGTCAGCTTTTCTTTCCTAGCTCTACTGTTTTTTGTCGATAGCTTACTCGTCTACTTGACCTTAGTGTTGTCGAGTTATGGCCGAAAGGGTAAGACGTCTGTCCAAAGGTCGCATGTTCCAATATGAGTCGGTATGGGTGACCTCGCAGTATCCCCAGTTTACGCGTGACTAGTGCTAGACATGTGGGTACGACTTGCGGCATACTCTGATGCCATCCCACTACCGTTCCAGCTCTCTGTTCTTACCCTCGCGCTTCTGGCGTACGGATACAATTTGACGCCTTAGAACGAGTAGCTAAGTACTTTACGCACTAACATCGACACTAGTTTATGCTCTTCATGCTACCAATATACATTTCCGGAGTGCTCCCAGTAACTTGGCTTGTGAAGAATACTTTATGTCTTCCATGTTCATACTGCAGATATTACACAATGCTGGCTAACTACCAGTTTTCGCTAACACTGAACGGCACTACAAATGCTAAATCTACACTTATCTAGAAAGTATCAGCTAAGCCACCTAGAAGGCTACTGCTCACATCACTATGGTCTGATGGCTTTTCGACTTCTGTTACATCTGCAGTGGCAAAGCCCGTCAGTGTGTTTGTTAGAGATTGCTGCTGAAATCTGCAGTAAGACTATGGTTGCTCTATGCATCATAAATGTCATTACTTCGCACTGATGACACTGGAATGATCATCGTGTTTGACCACCAGTGCTTGTGAAGCACCGAGCGAGCGATATTGAACTACGTCAACTGCTGTTTGGTGGCAAGCTCGGTGTTGTTGATTGAACTCAAATCGCATGCATTGGTTCGCTCATCAGTTGGTCGCCTCCATCTCGATGAGACTGGACCTTGCCGTGGTGCGATAGTTCGTGTGCCTCAGTGATCCATTGAGCTATGCTGTGTACTGCTTTTTTGCACCTTCAGAGCCACTCATACCAGATTGGTCAATGGTTAGAGGCCAGACAAACTCAGTCACCTGGCCCTCCAGCTTGGGGGTTGGAGTGAGGGTGGCTCATTATTCCATAAAACGGGCTCTGTAGTCCAGTGCCAAAACCCCGCTGCCTTGAGGTAAGGTTTTTGAACCAATGGCTTTGGTTGTGAACCCTAATCACTCTCCTGTCTATGCCTGGGCAACCTGACAGTATTCTGCCCACGCAATACAATGAACCTTTCTCCTAACAATTTCTTGATGCTCTGACCGTCGCAGAGGGTAATAAACGGCGCCCTATCTGCTGCATCGAGCAGGGTGGATGCTACTGCTCAGGCCTTCCCGTCTTCTTATCCTCTTCCTGCACTTTTTCATCCTTATCGTCCCGCTCCAACTTTACTTTTATCCCCCCATTTTCAATCCCCCAATACTTGGCCCTTCCCCGCCTTGCTTCAATAGTCGCTTGTCTTCTAGTTTCAACTCACGCATTGTCGCAGAGCATCGTTCCAATCCAGTCGACAAGTCCATGTTCACCCAAGCGGACAACGTCGGTTCATCCGTTTCCCTTTGGAGTCCTCGCGTCTCGCTAAGACTGGCATGCATCAACATGCGCACTTTGCTGCAGATGGGCCCACAGGCAGCACTTGCCCGCACACTAGAGACCCTATCGATCGATATTTGCTGTTTGTCAGAAGCCCGCCTGCAAGATTCGAGCTTCGTGGTTACCCTGCGATCCCCACATGCGACACTGGCGGCACATGCTCATTGCGCCTGTCTGGCGATGATGCAGCTTCAAATGCCGGTCAAGCTGGCGTCGGCATTGTTTTAAGTCCCCGGGCTGAAGCTGTCCTGATCGATTGGATCCCAGTCAACAGTCGGATGTGCGCCGTTAGATTAGCTGGTTCGTTCTGTGCTACTAAGTCGCGCGGGGACAAACGGTGCCTGTTTGTCATTGCGGCCTACTCCCCTACAAACTGTAGCACTGATTCGGTAAAAATGCTTTCTCTCAGCAACTTCACGATCGCCTTCGTTCCAGAAGAAGCACGGATACTGTGGTGTTGGCTGCCGATCTAAACGCCCAAGTCGGGAAATTGTCCTCTGATGAGCTTCATCTGGGCGGCCAACATGGTGTAGGCTCCCATAATGATAACGGTGAGCGATTGCTACAGCTGTGTGAAGGTTCTCGTCTATTTCTCGCGAGCACAAATTTCCGACACGGCACCCGCCGAAGCGTGACTTGGCGGTCACCAGCCTCGTGCCAGCCATGGACGCAAATCGATCATGTCGCGATCAGTTACCGCTGGATTGGCTGTGTCCGAAACTGTCGCTCGATTTGGTGCACGAGCGTGGACTCTGCCCACACACTTTTCTGCGCCGACCTCCGGGTGCGTTTCGGTGGACGTTCGCAACGTCGATGTGAACGGATTGATACCAGCCAGCTGGCGAAGCTATATGTTCTGAATGTGTATCAAAGTGCGCTAACATCCGGGCTTAGTAAGCGCCCACTGAACACCGTCGTAGCTCATTGGTCGTATGTTCGTCAAACGTTACTATCAGCAGGTATGTCTTCATGTGGCAAATCAAATTGCCACACTGGAACTTATGGATGCTCGCCGACGTATTCCGGCTGGAAGCGAATACAATGTGGCTCGCAAAAATCTCAGGGCATATCTACGTGTTAACCTGAAGAAAGACTGCGAAGCCTTTTGGTCTCATCTTGCCTCGGAGATGGAAACAGTCGCTGCCCTTGGCAATCGTCGTAAGTTATTCCGTCTGATACAGGGAACAGGCAGCGGGAGACCTGGTGTTAACGAGACCATACGTGACGATAGTGGGCAGTCGATCCACACTCGCACTCGGACGCACATTGGACACACTGGGTGTAGATGTGTGTTGTGTGTCCGAAACTAGGATTAATGACCCTAACGGGGTTGTTGTATTGACTGCACCCGGCTTATCCTCTCGTTATTGGTTGCACGCATCCGGGGACGCCGATGCGGCACTCACGGGTCAAGCTGGTGTAGGTATCATTCTCAGCTCCAAGGCTGAGTCATCGTTGGTTGATTGGATTCCGGTGAACAGCCGTTTATGTGCAGCCCGTTTGACGACATCAGCTAAGGTGAATTCGCGAAGTAAAACAAAACGCTGTTTGTTTGTGATTTCTGCTTATGCTCCCACCGACTGCAGTTCTAATGCAGTCAAGGACACTTTCTATCACGAACTGAACACGCCGCTACGCAGTGCTACTAGTTCAGATATTATAGTACTTGCAGGGGATATGAACGCACAAGTAGGACGTCTGAGCTCTTCAGAAGCTCAGCTGGGTGGTAAGTATGGACTTAACTCTGAACGGACTGACAACGGTGAGCGTCTTCTGCAACTGTGTGCGGAGCACCAGTTGTTTCTTACTAGCACTGCTTTTAGACACAGTGGGCGCCGAAGTGCCACTTGGCGTCCTCCTGTAGCTGGCCAGCGATGGACCCAAATTGACCACATAGCCATAAGTTACAGGTGGCGCGGTTCCATTCTGGATTGCCGCTCGTACTGGAGTACCTGTGTCGACTCTGATCATGCCTTGGTGCGCTGTCGTTTCTCCATGAACTTTACCGGAAGGCGCACAAAGCGTCTCCCCCGATTGGCAACGGAGAAATTGTCCCAGCCCTCTATCAGGCAAGCCTATCAAGAAGCACTGCATAGCGAACTCTCGCTGTCTTGTCCTAATGATACTGCGCTTCAGTGGGATAGGATCTCGGCCGCTATGCACGACGCGGGAGCATCTGTTTGTGGCACTATCAGTCGTCACCGCACTAGTCACCGGATATCCGAGAGGTCCGTGAACCTTTTGGAAGCTAGAAGGCATCTTCCGGCTGGTTCTGAACACAGTGTGACCAGACGGGCTATTAGGCGTGAACTAAAGTGGAGCCTACGTGCTGACAAGGAAGCCTGGTGGACCAGTAGGGCTCAAGAAATGGAGGAGGCAGGAGCAGTAGGCAATTACCGGAAGCTCTTCCAGCTAATACGCACCACTGGCCCGAGAAAACCAGGCGTCAGTGAGACAATCAGAGACAGCGCGGGTGCGCTGATACACAATAAGGAGCGCCATATGGCTCGTTGGGCTGAACACTTTCAAGACCTCTTCCTACTCAGGTGATGCAGGACTTGCCATGGACGGTTAGTCTAGAGCCTCCCTCAGAGGCCGAGATCCGAAACGCGATCACAGCCCTCAATCATTTTCGTGCCGCTGGCCCGGATTCCCTCCCACCTGCACTATTTAAGGATGGAGGTGAGGTCCTCTGCAAAGCACTGACCTCCCTATTCGAACGTATCTGGAACGAAGAGTGTGCCGGCTAATTGGAGCGAATCGATTATAGTGGCAATATACAAAAAGGGCAGTCGCACAGACTGTGCGAACCACAGGAGTATTAGCCTCACGCCAGTTGTGACAAAATTACTGGCCTCGATTATCGTTCGTCGCCTCACTGCAGAACGGGAATCTCTGAGTAGGGAAGAGCAGGCCGGTTTTCGCCCAGGACGTGGCTGTATAGACCATATATTTACTTTGCGGCAGGTGCTAGAGCAGCGCCACGCATACCGCAGACCGACAATAGCTGTGTTCCTCGATTTCAAGAGTGCGTTCGATTCAGTCGATCGATCGATTCTGTTCGAAACACTTGCGCGGAAAGGTGTTCCCACGAAATACGTGAACATCCTTCGTGCTCTACACTCGAAAACTACAGGCCGCGTCAGGGTCTATGGTGCCCTATCGGATAGCTTTCCGACCACAAGTGGCGTTCGACAGGGTTGTCCGATTTCCCCGTTTTTGTTCAATTTCGTCGTGGATTCTATCATGGAGTGTTCCCTTGCGGAATCTCACGATGTAGGTGTTGAATTGCTGCCTGGTGAACGGTTAGTTGATCTAGATTATGCGGATGATATAGTCTTGCTTTTCGACAATGTTGAGGCGGCACAATCAACCCTGAATAGCCTATCCAGAGTGGTCCCATTATTTGGTATGCACTTCGCACCTTCAAAGTGCAAAGTGTTGCTGCAGGACCACCAGTCACTTGATGACCCCTTGACGCTTGCTAACGAGGAACTCGAGGTGGTTGATCAATTCACTTATCTTGGCAGCTGCATCAGCAATGATGGGCGCATAGAAACGTATTGCAAAGGCCAGAGCTGCCTTCTTGAACCTGCGTCATCTTTGGCGACAGAAGGGAGTTTCCCTCCGTCTGAAAGGCCGTGTATACAAGGCCACAGTGAGAGCCGTTCTGCTCTATGGTAGTGAAACGGCCCCTTCGGTCTGAAGACCTGAGGCGCCTTCAAGTCTTTGATCATCGTTGTTTGCGAAGCATTGCTGGTGTCGGATGGCACCAGCGTGTCCGCAACGATAATGTGCGTAGGCGAGTACTAGGTGGTGATGATCAGGCTAGCTCCCTAGAACAGCAGATAGCACTGAATAAGTTGCGTTGGCTCGGGCACGTGCTACGCATGCCTGGTCACCGCTTACCTAGGAGGGCCTTGTTCAGTCTGCCAGGTGTAGGATGGCGCAAGGCTCGAGGTGGACAGAAGTTGACTTGGCAGCGGGAAATGAAGTCACTGACGACCAGACTGGGTGCCGTTGGTCCGTCTCGCCTTCCGGGTTGGAGTCCAAGTGACTCGCCTTGTGCTTGGCTCGAGACTTTACAGGACATGGCTCGAAGTAAACACCAGTGGCGCGTCTGCTGCCGTCTCCTAATCGGATTGTCTGTTTAAAGTGTGTTTGGTGCTGAGTTATCTGCGGGGTAATGGCTGATTATGACGCGTGGCAGTGAAAGCCGCAAGGAAGCTGTCTCGCCGATGCCGCCTTATCTTTGCACGATAGCCAGTTGTTTGTGACGGAATGTTGTCTACACAAGGTGTGGGCGCCTTGACCCAGAATGTTTGCTTAGGGCATTAAGGTTTTCAGGTAAGTCCCCCTTCTCTCCCTCTTATTCTTTATTTCATAGGTCCTCATGGTTGTATGGCAGCGAAGCATCAGTTCAAATGACTGATGTACTGCTGTTGATGATGATGATGATGATGAGTCGATCCACAGCCTGTCAAAACGCTTGAAGTGTTGGGCTGAACACTGCAAGGCAATTTAACCAACCCGGGTTAGCGGTTTCTTTTTCAAGCATTGAGCGCCCTTCTCCCTGGGCCGTCTCCTTGGATCCGCCCTCACGTGCAGAAGTCGAACGTGTGATCAGGCTGTTGAAATTGCATAAGGCCGCAAGGTTAGATAGAATTCCTCCAGTCCTCTTCAAATTTGGGGGACCTCCATTAGATGATTTACACGGGTTGCTAGTGAAACTTTGGAAACAGCAGACTGCCCCGATAGACTTGAGACGCTCCGTCATTGTTCAAATTTTCAAGGGAGACCCCCGTTCGGAATGCGACAATCATAGAGTGATCAATCTGATCTCAATTGCCTCTCAATTGCTTGCGTCTGTCATTCTCCACAGATTTATTGGCATCCGTGAACGCCAGATTCATGAAGAGCAAGCCGGATTTCGTCGAGGTCGGGGCTGCATCGACTACACCTTCACCTTGCGTCAATTGTTGAAGTAACTTGAAAATTCCCATTCAAGTCTTTATAACCAAAGCCCATCTGGTGAGCATTTGCTTTCCATGATTCATCATCAGACCATTACAATCATATGCAGGCTCGAAAGAGAAATCGACCCAGTTAGTTCAAAGCGACTTGATCACGTGAGGATCTATGTCAGAGTTGAGAAAACGAATTAGATCTTAGAGGGCTAGTTGTTTGCTACCGCGTCTGACCGAAGCACCGTTATGTTTATTGGCGACTCACCGTTGTCGTGTTTCTTGACATAAAAGGTGCCTTCGACTCAGTCCATCGATGTGCCCTTTGGGACTGTCCGCTGAGGAAATGTCTGTCCTATAAATACGCAAACATTATTAGAGCGCTGTACGCCCATATTATGAGAAGAGTGAGGGTTTACGGCAAACTGTCGCCACCCTTCAATATCTCCAGCGGTGTGAGGCAAGGTTGCCCGCTGTCACCTTTCCTTTTCAACTTCGCTATTGAGGAAGTCATGGGAACAGCATTCGCTGGACACGACATAGAAGATGTGGAGCTACCTCTCGGTGAGCGGCTTCTTGACTTGGAGTATGCGGACGACATTACCCTCATATGTGACAGCTCACAAACGTGCCAAGCAGCACTGGTCAGGTTAGCACTGGCTGTCACTTGTTTTGGGCTCCGCTTTACTCCATCGAAATGTGAAGTCCTCGAGGATTGGCAGTGACTCACCTCTGCTCTGACCCTTGGGGGTGATCAGCTAGAAGTCATTCAGGGATTCATTTACCTGGGCAGCCATATTAGCGTCCGTGGGATCGAAGATGAGGTTACGATCTGTATAACAAAAGTTCGAGGTGCTTCTGCCAATCTGCACCACCTGTGGCGCAGACGCGACATTACTCTTGCCCTGAAGGGCAGAGTTTATAACGCAGCCGTCCGTTCAATCCCCCTGTACGGTTGTGAAACCTGGCCCATCAGGTCGACAGACATAAAGAGGCTCGTTATATTCGATCATCGCTGCCTTCGCAGCCTAGCTCATGTCTGGTGGGAGCACCGCGTGAGCAATGAGCGTGTTCGGCGTTGCGTATTTGGTGTAAGAAGAGCGAGTGAACTGCTCAGCACCTTTATATCACACACCAGACTCCAATGGCTGTGCCATGTGTTGCGCATGCCAGCCCACCGACTCCCGCGACGTGCATTTTTTGCGCGTTGTGAGTGCGGTTGGAAGAGGAGGAGTGGAGGCCACGCAGTCACACTTGTTGATAGGCGAAGAGCCCGTCCCAATGGTGTTTGTGTTGTTCTTTTGTCCATCCCCATCTACTTTAGATTCCCGCTCCAATCACCACCATATATCATATACATGATACAATATTTAACATCATGTTACTCAGTTTTTTAATTTTTTTTACTGTTTTTTGTATTTCGGCACATTGGCTAAGTCTTGTTTCTCATCCTCAGCTAACCTGCATTAATGATTATTATGATTTCCCGTTAGACGTTTGCCCTCAGAATTGTTTTCTTTTTTGCTTACTTATCAGTCTCTTGACTATTCGATTCATAGCAAGTGGATCTATTACATTTCCGTTACCGGATCCTAACTGACCAATTAAACTGAACATCTCCCATTACACATGGCAGTAACAACCATAGTGTCTCACGCTATTTTGGTATGTAATTTCTACAAAACACGCTTCCGCTGTTCTGCCGTACAACTCATCAATGACAGTCGCACTTGCGCTACAAAAAGGCCGGTTCTACTGCATGGACCAGAGACCTGGCAGTTTCCTATGGAAACATTAACCGCTTGCTCGCATTCGACCACATATGCTTACGGAATATTACTCACATCTGATGGGAACACCAGGTGAGCAATGCTGAGGTCCGCCTGTTGCTTTTTGGCAATCAGCTTTCTGTCCTCTCATTTGAGTCTCTCCTTAATCTTAACCGCTCACGTTGTCTAGGTCATGTTCTCCGTATGCACGTTGCTGTATTTCATCGGCGTGCAATCTAAACCGTGGCTGAACCAAATTGGGTGAAGGTATGAAGGAACTGATCGAGAGGATTGGTCAGACTGGTGCATGCAGTCTTCCTGGATGGGTGCCCCGGCACTGTTTACACTGGTGGTTAGAGACCCTATCAATGGGTGTTATTACTAGTTTCTTGTATCTGTCTGTTACTCTTCGTCCCATCCGGATTGGTTTTGCGCTTTTCTGCCCTGATCCCATATTTTGTATTTTATTTGCGTTCAACCTCACTTTCTTGCCGTTGTTAATCTGGCGATGTGAGTCGTGGCAACGGGATCCACCGCACTTCGGCGCCCGGATCATGGTCGCTCAACTGAACAATGAACTTAACTGGACTTATCATACTGTTTCTTTTTTGCTAGGCAGTCTTTACAAAACACAGTGCACCCGGTGTTCCGACGTACAACACAACGAAGATAGTCCCATTTGCGCTGCGTTAGCAGGAAAAGGGTGCGTTCATTTTGCATGTTACCCGACAAGTACCAGTATTTGTTGCTATATGGTGCCGTCACTTCTCTGTACATCCTGATCAGTTTTATCCCTGAATCTTTTTGATGTTGACTAATATCATGCCTTCCACTTGTTTATTTGATTTATCCGCGTGCCCGACATCTAACGCACGGCCGCCGCGCTATAATTGATGATTCTCGCTAGCCGGTGGCCGAACACACAAAGCAACCCGGACGTCACCGGTTCGAACCTGTGTAGGGGAATGGGCGACCCTTGCAGTGTCCTTAGCTCACACGCGATTGGTGCTGGTTGCTTGGTGCCGAAACGTCGGTACGGCGTACAGGCATACTGCTGACGGTTCTTTGATGTCACCTGTTTACTTATCCACTTGTTACTGTTCACGTTGTAGATCACCTACTTTCAATCCCGAAGCACATTCGCATATCCCAGAAGAAGATCTGCCTCGTTGTAAAAAACCCTCCACACAGCATGCTTCCAGAATTTGCAATGGCTTGCTTAGACCGCATGTCGTCTGGTTTACCGAGCCTCTCCAGTCTGATGTTTTACGCCAAGTGGACATTGCCATGTGCAGCGTAGATGCTTGTCTGGTGGTTGGAACTAGTGCATTAGTGTATCCGGCTGCTCAGTACGCCCCTGATTTGGCAGCCCGAGGAGTTCCAGTTGCAGAAATTAATTTGGAGCCCACTCCGGCTACAGATAAGTTGAGGTAGGTCATGATGACGAGTTTTGTCTTTGGTGAGCCTGTTCGTTTGATCTGGGTACTCATGTTTCAGCGCCTTGTGTTCATCTTATACCTCCAGTTCAATTGATTAGCCATTATCTCTTCCTTAGAGCGCTATAGATCCATTTGCTCCCATTTGTGTTACAAAAATGACAGTGGTGCACAGACTTGTGCGTAGTGCTGCACGGTTTGGCATGTATTACAAAGTGCAAAGTGCTGTTGCAGGACTGGACCTACACACCTCCGGTTTTAGCTGTTTCCGAACAGCCACTGCAAGTGGTGGCTCGATTCACTTACCTTGATAGCTGTGTCACCTCTGGTGGTCACGTCACTGAGGAGGTTACTTCGCGTATCAGCAAGGCCCGCATGGTTTTCCGGAGGCTCAACCAGCTATGGAGACGGCGGGATATCAGCTTGCTAGTTAAAAGATACGGTTATAACGCTGCGATAGGGCCTGTGTTACGGTTTGGATCAGAAACCTGGCCAATTCGCAGTGAAGACCTTAAACGCTTAGCCGTGTTTGATCACCGGTGCTTGCGAAGTATTGCTCACGTTTGATGGGAACACCGTTGATCGGCTTCCTCTGCGTGCATTCTATGCTGTGGCTGCACCCAGTTGGGCGAAACCGCGAGGTGGCCAGTCCACAGCATAGCACAGAGGCATGAAGAAATTGACCGAGAGACTTGGTCAGGCTGGTGCGTACCGTCCATCTGGATCGGGGCCTCGGGAAGGTCCACACCAACGCTTGCTAACCGGATCAGACATGGCACAGTTACGAAGTCAGTGGCATTCCTACATTCGGTTTCTTTCCTCTGGTTCTTAATTTTCGTTCTATTCTGATTGGTCCAATGCCTTTTCTTCTTTCATGTCCTCTACATTCTATTTGCACCCAACCCCACTACCCTACCGGTGTTATTTCTTATTCTGATTCTTTCGGCGGGTATCATAACAACTGAATTCGCCGCACTTCGGTGCTCGGATCATAGCTATCCAACTGAACTGGTGCGAAAACCATAGCGAATACGCAATCGGAAAGGTGCCACATGGCAGAGTAGCAAACACAGCACTCAGGAAAGGAGCAAGTGCATCAACGGCACTGACCTCTCGGCAAGGCCATGTGCAATACATCAACTGACCATTTATGTGACCGATCGTGAGCCTCCCATCCGTGCGGATGTAATGCCCAAACCAGACTCAGTTTTCATATAACAATATGTCCATGAATTTCGCCACCTTATCGACTACAGTTAGTCCCAAAACTCTTGTCCATTTTCACTCTGTTACTCGGAGACAAAGGGTCACACCTTCAGGTGAGAGAAGAACACACTAAATTGCCAACTGTCAAATGGCAGATGTTGGTCTTTATCAAAATGTCTCTCACCCGGTCACATGGGTCCGAGCGACCGGAGTGATGGCCCTTAGGCAAGTGCACCTGGGTACAGGTGTACTTGCCACTCTCGTCCATCGTAAAAACGCTTTATGAGCGCAAATGGTTGCGTTGAAATCAACTACGCACGCCACAGGGCAAGTTCACCGATCGGTACATATCGTGCTTCGGGTTGGTTGGAACGAATGCAGGCGCGCAAAATCAAGGCAGCGATGCATCATTACCGAGCTACTGCGGTCGAATTGTGGTGGCGCTTAGACAGGCCTAACTGACCCGAGAATGGAGTGTTCAATAGGCGCTTAGTGTTATCCCAGCTAATGACAAAAGGCTTATTGGCAGCGCTCTTGTAGACTGAAAGTTAGCTTCAAACAACCCACCTTAGCAAAATAAGCATTCATTACAATTAGGCCTTGAAAATATGAAATGTGACACTTTTAGAAAGGAGTCTTGAAAAGCTTTGGCGCCTAGAGACTACTCGCTCTCGTCCCAGTATTGAGCATTCATTCCAACATATTCACTGACGAGGCAATATTCCATTATCATGGAACTGAGTAGTTGCATTTCTAGGCAATATCTAATCCTCGCGGATACTGAGATTCACGTATTCCACAAAGCACGAAACTCATTGGCTTGCAAAACTGATTGACAAACCGTGGGGCCACAGCACACGCATGTGGGTTCTCTCGCATACTGTTCACCACAAGCCAGTTATCCCTGTGGTAACTTTTCTGACACATATTGCTGCAAATACAAAAAGATCGACAAGCCACGCTTTCACGGTCTATGTTCTTCTTGAAAAATCGCTGGACCATCTTTATTTCCCCTTTATGTGACCGGTATGTTATTGTTTGGAAGCACTTATCCCACGCCAGAGTCTATACGCCGATGAACACGATAAAATTCGAAACCGCGTAGCCTATTCTCACATCACCATTTCGTTCACATCCTCCCCGTATTTCTTAAGCATAACCATGGAAAACAAGTATTGGCATCGCGAATCATGTTGCATAGAAGTGGTCAGTCTACGCGCTGTCGAATCAGCTCGTTGCTCGTTGAATGCATTCTGGCCCGAGGCACCTTTGGCACCATTTGCCCATGCACCAATTTAGTCCAGAAATCAGTGATAACGGTGAATATGTATATTAACATAAACAGCATAAGATCGTGATGTGTCTGTCGACGAAAAAGATGCTCAATGCGCCCGACAGCGTTCTGCTTGCAGTGCGGCAATCGCCTGTGACAATAGGCTATAACTTTTGCAAAGTTTCCGTGTTGATAGCGCAACATTCGTTGACAATACTGCCTTTCAGTTGTTTCAGTGAAATAGGCATTATCTTGTAAACTCTTCTTTTCAAATAACCCCATAAGAAGAAATGTAAGGGATGAAAAGCTGGTGACCAGGCAGGCCAATCCTTCGGACCTCCTCGACCGATCTACCGGTGACCGAACACTTCGTTAAGATAATCCAGCACCGTTTGTGCATAATGGGCAGGTGCACCATATTGAAGCGTTAACGACTGAAGCGAAGTGCCGAAGTCACCAACGAGAATCGGTGGTGAAAACATCTCGTTACTGGCCAGCGACAGTCCCTTAGCATGTGAGAACCATGATTGCCAGAGGAATGGCGGCAGCCATAATTGAGTTACTTGGCAAACACGAGGTGAACGTCATATGTGCAACGGAAGTACGTGACCCTGGCTTGCAAGAAGTGCATAACGCAGCCTACTGCGCTTCAACGGTTTCGTCCACCGCCGTCAACTTTACAGTAAACATCAACAGCGACGCCTGCACGCTGTCGGATAATTGGGCGTTCGCACATTTCGTACGTACCCGTCTTGTTTTATTTTCTTGTGGCGTTCATTCTACCCCGACGAAATATTGGCACAATTACCCGTCGCAACATTGTGGTAGTGAAATCAATCGTTATGCATCATACATCTATTTACATGAAGTATATTTCGAGGGGAAAAACGCAAGGAAACAAATGTTCAAAATGACCACTGTCGTTTCGCTTGCAGAGCAGCATTCGCCCGATTCTATTGTGAGAACCAGACCAACCAGTCTGGAGGAACTGAAACCGAGCATCATCAACGAAGGTCGCGGGATGTCAGTGGACACTCTGAAGAAAGTCCAATAGCCAATAAAATCGGTTTGTCAATCAGTTTTGCAAGCCAATGAGTTTCGTGCTTTGTGGAATACGTGAATCTCAGTATCTGCGAGGATTAGATATTGCCTAGAAATGCAACTACTCAGTTCCATGATAATGGAATATTGACTCGTCAGTGAATATGTTGGAATGAATGCTCAATACTGGGACGAGAGCTAGTAGTCTCTAGGCGCAAAAGCTTTTCAAAACTCCTTTCTCAAAGTGTCACATTTCATATTTGCAAGGCCTAATTGTAATGAATGCTTATTTTGCTAAGGTGGGTTGTTTGAGGCTAACTTTCAGTCTACAAGAGCGCCGCCAATAAGCCTTTTGTCATTAGCTGGGATAACACTAAGCGCCTATTGAACACTCCATTCTCAGGTCAGTTAGGCCTGTCTAAGCGCCATCACAATTCGACCGCAGTAGCTCGGTAATGATGCATCGTTGTCTTGATTTTGCGCGCCTGCATTCGTTCCAACCAACCTGAAACACGATATGTACCGATCGGTGAACTTGCCGTGTGGCGTGCTTAGTTGGTTTTAACTCAACCGATGGGCGAGAGTGGCAAGTACTCCTGCGACCATGTGGCTGAATGAGAGACATTTTAATAAAGTCCAACATCTGCCATTGGACATTTGGCAATTTAGTGTGTTCTCCTCTCACCCGAAGGTGTGACCCTTTGTCTCCGAGTAACAGAGTGAAAAGGGACAAGAATTTTGGGACTAGTTGTTGTCACCCTGGTATGTGTAGTTTAGTTTTCTTTTCCCGGACGAGCCGGTGACCATAGCATTGTGTAAAGTTACTTCGTGAGACATTGGCAAAAATGTGAAAAATGCTACACCTATGTATCAAGAATGAATGTTAACAGTACGCATGTCGGTATGCAGTGGCAGGTAAGAAGGCGGTGTGCGTGCGGAGGACGCTACATCCGACGATTAACTTGGCACATGTTACGAGGGTAGGTGTATATGTGTACGTGCGTGTATTGGACCAGCGTTAGTTGATGATGGTTAGCTTAACACGTTACATCCCTCATCATTTTGACTGGCGTCTGCTGTGTACGCTAACTGACAGTACCACGTTCTCGCATGCCCACGCACGCTCAATCTCGCAACTGATTAGAGGAATTTTGATAGCGCAATAAGAAGACGAATGTTGCAGGATGGTACCATCTCATGCCCTAGGTTCACTTCTAAACGGACAACATATCAAATGATAACGTGACAAAAAGGAAATCAATAAATTGAAAGGGTGAGGTCTCATGTAAGCGAAGTAAACGTTGGGCACAAGTTGAGGAGAAATTATTAACTCCAAGGGAGTTTGAGCGTAACGAACAGTTGCTTCTGGACGCACAATGTTGGAGAATGCTTTTTTATGGCCACTGCCTCGGCAAACTTGGGGATTTTGGCGTTTGTGTTACGATAGATGATACTAAACGCCGAGTTGGGGTCC